ATATGCTTATAACAATTTGGTATAATGTTGTACATAAAGTCCTGAAGCTTACCTTCATGTCCACATGCCATTAAGAACAATAAAAAATTCTTTAGAATATATTTTACTTAATGACTATATTATTTATATGTGAAAACTTCGGGGAACCATTTTCCTCCTTTTTGGAAATTTTGGTTGTTTGCTCTCTATCAAAACTACAAGTAATTTGAAATAAAGTTGTTTGCTCATGTACCTGCGATTGATATAAATTGCATTCTCTCCAGTACAGTTCCATTCTACAATGGAAGATCATTTTTCCTGGAAGCTTCCCTCAAAGTGGTAATAAAGGGTAATCTTTTAGGTGACCTTGCACTTGTTTGAGTAGGAACCGAGTTTAAGGGTTATCAAGACAAAACTGCTTATCTAGGCTGGGAAGTGTTGTGGTTAACACAGCTAGTATTATTTATCCTAACTAATCCATAGGGAGTGTCTGATTTACTCAGTGATCTCCAAATCAAAAAATCTCAGCTGATTCTGTGTATCCAGCCAGGAATCTGCCTCTGACCAGCATGCTTTTCACAAAGGCATGGGTGATCTGTAGCCCCTAGCATCCAACCTAGTGTTCAGCATATTGTAAAACTTACCTGCATGTGGTTTTATGTGTGTTTATGAAATGAGGGAAGCCATACAAGAGCTTTATGATTCCAGGTGGCTGACATGTAAACAAGGTGCATTCTGCCAAGTGAAGTGACTCATCATCTGGCCTCTGACCCCTACGAAACATAAGTGCTTCACCCCCAGGAGAAGCCCATTTAGCTACATGGGGCACTTGTACACTGCCTGCCCACAAGAAAGCCCAATGCTGGGGACCGCCCTTCAGAACAAAGGCGCTTGTGCAGAGGAAAGTGATATTTCCCAACATAGTCATTTCTCCTCTCCTGCTGATGCTAATTACAGTTTGCTGAATGTAAACTGGGGAAACACCTCGCCCACCCAAAGGAGTTCCAGAGATGGGCCTGTGGTCTTCACAGTAACCTGGGAGCAGAAATCTCTCCCTCCTAAGTCTTGTATCCTTTTTGCCTCCCACCACAACACAGACAGGTAAACACAGGGAGGTGACAAAGTGAGTTTGGACTTGCGAATCATCCCAACATCAGGGTCTTTCTCTTGGTCCTGGCTGTGATGTGAAGCTGGAGTATGAAGTGGAGGCACAAGGAAGACAGTACCTGACTGGCAGGGGTGCTACATGTGTGCTGTATTACTGGGGCAGTCTGGCAACACAGTTACACAATTAATTATACTGAAACAACTAACTCAAGCTTCTTTGAAGGGCCCCTGCCCATGGGACCACCATATTGCCATTTTGCCACACAATCATTCCTTTTTTCTGCTTTGGCATCACGTGTCGAATTTTCAACCTCAATTAAAAATTCTTCTTTCAGGAAATTATCAAGGGTTACCACCTCAAGGCAGCCCTCCCTGGTTATATACTAGTCATAGCCATATGAATACACTCACCTTTCCTCAATGTTATCATAACACACTGTTTGGGTCTCTTTTAAACTACTTTTGGGGTCTGTGCATCTATTGTCAAATCTGGAAAACACAAGGCTGATGGGTCTCTAAGGTCTTTTCGAGCTTTTCTTTTCGAAATTGTATTTTTTGCATTCTTAGGAATAATAATCAAATGCTTAAAAAAAAAACAAACAGTATAGTATAGTGGTAGGATTGTGCTTGGGCACTATGGGCTTCCCAGATAGCTCAGTTGGTAAAGAATCCACCTGCAATGCAGGAGACACTGGTTCGATTCCTGGGTTGGGAAGATCCACTGGAGAAGGGATAGGCTACCCTCTCCAGTATTCTGGCCTGGAGAATTATATGGATTGTATAATTCATGGGGTTGCAAAGAGTCAGACACGACTGAGTGACTTTCACTTCAGCACTATAAGAACTGAGTTGGAACATCAATTGAGTTGCTTCTCGATGAATGGCCTGGGCAAGACTTATCATGCCTTTGGGCCTCAGTTCTCCCATCTGTAAAATGGCAATAATGCTGATGAGGTATCACAAGACTGCAGAATAGAGTCAATCGGGCTGTGCATGTGAAAGTATCCTGTAAATAAATTGTGAAATATAGTGTTTATAATAGTTATTTCAAGAAAAAGCCCTGTGACTCTCTCCCTGTTCTAAAGAAACTACACCACTGCTGGATTAAACATCTTAAAACCTAACACCTCTGATTCTCAGAATCATGCCCAGTAATCTACAATGTCTCTCTGTCTGAGGAACAAAGATTCTTCATTAAAAACCCGCAGGAACCTCAACAGTCACAGTCTGAACAACTCTGGGAATCCTCTCGTAGATCCTACTTTGTGTTACGCATTTGCCAGGTTTTTGCCACATAAACAGAGTAAGGAACTAGAGAGACTAATTAATTTAGGGTCAAGTCCTAGATTTGCAAGTGACTATCTGTGTGATCCTGTGAAAACTGCTTTACTTTTTGAATCTTCGCTTCCTTGTCTATAAATTAGCTATGATAGCACTCACTATAAGGAACTGTTGCGAAAGTGATGGCGTGACAGCTCTGTTAAAGCCCACAGACAGGACACCCAGCGCACAGCAGGCACTCAACAAAGACCAGTCCCTTTCTCTTTTTCTCTCCCTTTGAGCACCAGGATTCTAGAATTCCACAATATGAAATATTCACCCACACAGGTGTGGGGTAGACAATGGGTGGTCTCTAGGGGAGTGATGTCAGAGAAAGATTTTAGCAGAAACTCCATTTCAGTATCACCACTGGGCCCCTGCTTGAGTCTGCCACCCACACCGAACTCATCACCACAGTGAGCATTTAATTTTTTTTTTTTTTTTTTACAAAAAAGAAAGATTATTTTCAATGATGCATGTGATAAATATGCTGGCTTTAAACTTTTTAGAAATATTAAAGGTTTCACAGCTCAATGTTTGACAGACTTGATTAATCCCTTCCACACAGATATATTCAGGAGGATAGCTGTAGTTGGGTTTTAAAGCTCCAAGAGTGTTTTCTGATAAAGGTAAAGAAAAGGTAAAGCACTTTTGAAAACAGAGAGATTCATATGCTGCACGGACTGGACAAAGACCATGAAGACCCAGAATGCACAGGAGGATGAAGAGTTAGAAGCCAGGTCCAGGGAATCATGCTTTAAAAGTTTTCTCCCTAGGTGGAGTTTTCCAATGAAAAGCACACATCTTGCCTGATCAAAGGCCATTTGAGAAGTTTTCTTCTCTGCTGGGTTCCAAAATGAATGATGTTGGGACAAACTTCAGAGGGGAATAAAATGGAATTGATCATTGCCCCTATCATAGTCCTGGGCCATTCAACAGCCTCCTGCTCACTCTTTCAGTCACCAAGGCTATTTCTTGCACCCACCTCCCCAATTTCCAAACGGACTCTGAGCTCCTCAAAAGAACAAGAAATATTTTTGGATATTTTTCCCCTCAGCAACTACCTTAGTTTTGTATATAATCAGTGCCTAATAAACATTTGTTAAATGGACAGAGTTGGTGTTTAAGAAATCCTTGAGAAAATGATCTAAAAATTTTTTTAGATCATAAAAATCTAAAAAAAATCCTTGAGGAAATGCTGGCAAAAACCCCTACTTAAGAATGATGCTTTAAAAATTACTATCAGATTCCAGGTCCTTCTGATTTCCATCATACAAAAGAATATTGAGTTTAGAAACTAAACAATGGAGGTTTCCAAAGAAAGCCTCAATAGACAGATACTGATCGGGTACTACATCCATGCTAGGTGAGCTGGACACAGTTCCCGGCTCAACCCATGGCCTGGGGTAAAAGAGACTTGTCATCATTGTGGGAGGTGCCTTGGTTGAAGGATATATAGGAAAACAGAGGGGATAGAGGAAGCTATATCAGACACAGCATCTTTGTTCATGGGAGATGTTTAAAAAAGCTTCGAGAATGAGTGAAGCACTCTTAAGCTGAAGTTTGAAGGACATCACAAAAGGGGAAAGCATACTTCTCCATGTATCATGTACATCGTTTTGATCTGTGAACTTCCAATTAAACTCCAAATGGAACACTTGCTCTGCTAATCAACCTTCCCCACAAAATTTCAAAACCTCAGCCCACCCTGCCCCTAGGTTTTCTTTGACACCCAAGTCAATCTTCAACCCCGACCCCTATTTTACTTTTATGGAAGCATTTTCCCAACACGAAATACCAACATATTTGCCACAAGATATTATGGGGGGCAAAGGTGTAATTCAATTATGTGACTTAATCAATTCAAATGGCTGATGTACAAGGATCTCAGGATGCCATCCAGCTTTCAACTCAAGGCGAATAATTGTTCCATAATTTCTTAATTCTCCCGCAAGACAGTTTAAATTAAAGGATGTCAATTTGCAAAGCCAGACTGCATTGTATTCTTAAATTGGGCCTGAAATAGCCACAAGATGAAGGGTAATAAGGCAGAGAGCAAAGCCCAGGGTGCCTGGTGCTGTGCAAAATTGTTTAATACGGTCAGACCCTTTAATCTTCATATCTACTGATGCAGAAAGCAGCATATTTCTGTCACTTATGATAAGAAACATTACTTTTTAAATTCCTTGGTGAGGCCCGCAGATCTTCTAGACAGCCAAGATAGCAGGAATCTCTATTTCTGTGTCTGTGAACATTTCTTTTTTTCCCTTAAATTGGTTTTATTCTAATCCATTTAGTCTCCAGTCTGAGTCAGAGACAAGTAACCCTGAATGGAGCCACACAGGAGGAGAACAAAGGCTTTTGCCTTCCAGTCCTCAGATTGGACTGGCTACCGGCTCCTTGAATAAGTCAGTGATTAAACAAATAATGAACCTGAGGGCATTCACTATAGGACAGTCAGTCAGTTCCAGAAAGGGAGAGAATTGGAACAGCATCTGAGAGAAACAAAATCGTGCTCCAAAATGAAGGGTGCAGTGGGGAGGGAGGGGATACTTTAAACTATTTTCGTGGAAGAGTCAAGTATTTTTACTCACGCGTGTCCTAGGAAAAGGTTGGACCAATGCGACCAGGCTGGGTCAGGGTGCTGCTAGGGAAATGTAGACCCCAGAATCTGGATGGAAGAAATTGGATGCTGTTTTCCCAAGATTACCAGAGCCACAAATCAGGAATCGTCATGGACAGAAGCCAAGGACATCGCTGTAATGAAAGAAGTATATGTCAATATGGAAAGCAAACCAATGAGGAGGAAGGAGGACAGAGTTTGGAGTTAATGGTCACAACGGCGTTTAGAGTACGTGGCTCAGAATGAAGCATCATCTAAATGTAGGTGGGCCGGGGGCACAGGGATCCATAGCAATTGTGCTGGGCTAAACAGAAGGGCATTTGTCAGTGTCTCTGCCTCATGTTGTGTCAGACTAAGTAGTCTGGTTGTTGTGTTCAGTTGCTCAGTCGTGTCCAACTCTTTGTGACCCCATCGAGCCCTCCAGGCTCCTCCATCCATGGGATTTTCCAGGCAAGAATATGGAGTGGGTTGCCATTTCCTTCTCCAGGGCATCTTCCCAACCCAGGGATCAAACCCGCATCTCCTGTATTGGCAAGTGGATTCTGTACCTGGGAAGCCCCTAGATAATGTTGTGTGTACATGGGTACAAACAAAGCATAATGCATTCATCAATCTGTATTCTAAAAATTTGGACTGTGTTATATGCAGGCTAAAATTCAATAAGTACAAATTCTACATTTCTCACTTGTATGAATCTATCTCTAGGATAAATGCCTAGAAGTAGAATTACTGGGTAGAAAATGCTTATAAATTTTGGACATTGTCAAATTACCATCTACAATGATTGTGCAATTTTACACTCTCTTCAGCAATGAATGAAATCAAAACTTTCTCATGTCTTCCCCAACAGAGCTGGCCACACAATTTTGAGGGAGAGACACAAGATATAAGGCCTAATAATCACAGCGATAGGAATGCCCTGGTGGCTCAGACAGTATAGGATTCGTCTGCAGTGCAGGAGACCCAGGTTCTATCCCTGGGTCAGGAAGATCCGCTGGAGAAGGGAATGACTACCCACTCCAGTATTCTTGCCTGGAGAATTCTATGGACAGAGGAGCCTGGCAGATTACAGTCCATGGGGTTGCAATGAGCTGGACAAGACTGAGCTACTAACACTCATTCACTTTCAATGACAATGATAATGCTACTATTTAATGAACAATTGTAGCACTTTAAGCCAAGTTTTAGTCTTTATGTGGAATAATCCATTTATTTGTAGTAATAACCCACTGACATAGGACTATTGTCATTAAAGAGATAAGGAAACAAATTTAGGGAGCATAAGAATCTTGTTCTTGACCACAGTTATGAAGGGTGGAACTGGGGTTCTAGCCCTGGTACCTGGTATTTCTTCAATACCAGAAATATTAGCTCTTATTCTAGGAGGTGGGGTGTTATCTATGGTACTTGTTGTAACAGGTACACACAGATAGGAAACCAGAGGGAGGGTGTGTGTCTCGGGAATCAGGGAGACCAATTCTTTCCATCTCAATAGAAGTGTACACAGGCTATTAAGTGGGAAAATATTGGGCTACAGTGGTTGATAAGCAAAACTCTAAGAACAACATGATACATTTTTCTTACTTTTTCTCCCTGCTCTTTTCACTAGAAAAATTATTCTTTCAACGTTCATGATATGTAGAAAGGTCAGAGCTACAAAAATGAAAGGATAGTGTGGTCGAAGAAGCATTGTACTGAAAGTAACATAGACCTGGGTTCAAGTTCAAGTTCTACTACTTTTTAGATGGATGATGGTAAAGCAAATTATTACTTAACTTGCTTCTCTGAACCTCATTTTCTTCAAATGAAAACACTGAGTCTATAATCCCAGGAAAATGTGTATGATGACTAAATAATGCAAAAGATAAACAGTGCCAAACAACTGATAAATATCACTAGTTATAGTCAATTTCTAACTACCTGTTTAATTTTATTCTTCCTGTTTCTCTTTAAAGATCTTCTGCTCTCATCAAATTGTTTTTTTCACTTTTCTCAAACATGATGGAATTTTCCAGTCTGCTTACATTTCTGCATTCTGCTCTCTCTTACTGAAATACATCCCTGTCCCCAAGTCCTGTCTATGGGAATTCTACCATGAAGCCATTCAGGTGTGTAACAAATGCTACCAACTCAACAGTGTCTCTTGAATAATAACCCCTGCAATAAACTACCCCTAAGGAGTTTAATTCCTAAGTACTCTCGAATTCCTATTTACTGAGCTCCATGACTTTTAGAAAATTAGTCATCATAATACCAGTTTAAAAATGCTATACTATGTATCCGGCACTGTTCTAAACACTTTCTATATCTCACTCAATCCTCTCCACAGGTGATAGGTACTGCTATTATTTCAACCCTTAGTCCTGAATGCCGGTCACTATTAAGTGTCTTATCAGCATGGCTGGACTGAAGGCTCTAAAGGGCAAAGAGGCCATGAGCGTAATACTTGTAGACTGTGGAGTCAAAGAACATCAGCTCCAGTCTAGGTACTGATCCTATCAGCTGTGTGATGTCTAGCAAATTACCAAATCTCTCCAGGCACTGATTTGGATTTGCAAGGGGATGCTGATAATACCAACTTCAAAGAGTCATTATGAGGCTTGAGCTTGCAGATGCAAGAATTTCAGTGTGTGGCATGTGCTGAGCACTTAAATATCAGCTCCTATTATCACTATTTAAATAGCATGTAGTTGGTTTCCAGCAAAAGGCTCCTGTCCATCACATATTTGAATTCAATTCTCTATTCCCTCTTCCTGTGCTGTCTTTCCCCACCCTCACCATCATTGTACTGCCAATCTGAAGAACTCAAGGCCCAGGTCTCTGGGATCTTGCTCTAGCATCTTCTGCTCTGTAAAGCCTTCTTTAATGGTCCCTTCTGCAGAGAGAGAGAGCTTCCTCCATAACCATATTCCGGCTCACCTGCACCACTCACCATTCTGTGGTACAATTCCTTGTTATCAGTCGGGTTCAGAACTTTGAGCTCCCAGAAGATGGGGATGATGCCTTAGTTATTTTTAATCCCTAATACTTAGCATACTACCTGCATAACGAACTGCTCTCTAAGTGTCTATTAAATGAAGAAATAGATAGATTTTTTAAATGTTTAAAAAGTATTTACAAAACACAAATATATTCACAGACATAGAAAACAAACTTTTGGTTACCAAAGGGGAAGGAGGGTACAAATTAGGAGTTTGGGATTAAAATATATATACTACTATAGATAAATGAGATGACCAGCCTACTGTATAGCACAGGCAACTATACCCAGTAACTTGTAATAACCTATAATGGAATAGAATCTAAAAAAGAATATATATGCATAACTGAATCACTTTGCTGTATACTTGAAACTAACACAACATTGTAAATCATCTATATCTCAATAAAAATTTTTAAAAAATTTAATTCAAAAAAGTTTAAAAAATTTTAAGATGAACAAACAAACCTGAACGATAAGCAAGAGAAAGTTACCAATTCTTAACTCATCACTATATAATTCACTGAAAAGTCACTCAATCTCCCTATCAAAGCATAGAACAGAAACTGCTAAAATTAAATGTTTTATAAAAATAGATGAGAGAATTCTGTAAGGGGCCATTGCATCCCTATCTGCCACATCTTTGCTCACCACACTGCCAAGCTATTGATGTTTTAGTGACAGACACGGTAAAATGACAGATTCACTAGCAATTTATAAACTCAAGACATTAACAGACACACTGGCTGCTCAGATATAAGCAGAGCATTACAGAAGGAAAATAATAATTAACTTATAAGGAAAGGGGCAAGTAAACATTCTATTAAAAGGAAAAAAAAATCCCAAATGAATATAATCTCTTTCCATTACATTATGAGCATTAAAATTAATGGTGTTGGTTTTTCTGTGGTTTGGATCGTCATTGTATTTAACAAGCTGAAGTTAACTTCACAGTGGAAAAAAAAAACAAATTAAATGTGCCCGTGTTTCAGGAAACTTCATTTTCTGAGTGAATAGCCAAGTTGATGCACATCACCAGAATGGCTGACAATCAGTTTTCCATACTGGTGTGTTCTAAATGGGAAAGGAAACCAACTCTTCATTTAAATTATATTGCAAATCACTTCTTGCCTGCTGAATGGCAGTCAGCTGCAGTAGGTGGCTTTCACGTAGGGCCCCAAATACAACATTGGCTGATTAATGCTAATTTCAAATGTTTTCTTTGGGAGCGGGAGAGAGGTGGATGGGCATGCTATCTTAGTGCATGTGATGCTGAGGAAATTTTATGGTGAGTGACTAACTCAAAGGCCAACAGCATATTTGCCATCAGATAAAAATGCACATTCACAAACATACCAAGACAAGTCAATTATTCCCTGATTCACTATTCCCTGGGTCCCTTTGTGCGAAGAAAACTATTTATACTCCCCATCAGATGGATACACAGAATCATGGTAAACAAGCCCCCGATTCCACTATTCTATATTATATTTCCCAGGGCACCTTCCACTGTGGAAGCCATTAGTTTTGGTCTTTTTGTTCCCGATTTATCAAAACAGACATTTTGCTAGCAAGCTCAGTTTTACTCCCAAATGCAAAACAGTTAGGAGACACAATTTTCAGCCAACTGAGAGAAAAAAGCAAAACATGCTTTGTAATCTTTTGGTTAAGGTGACTGGAAATTTCTACTTCTCTACCTTGATGACTGGTATGTCGATAAACACAAAAGTCTGTGCTCAGAAGCTTGCAATTCTCTTCCCCTTCCCCAGGTAACAGTTCAGAGAAACAAATCAACCCATCATGTCCTCTGAATTTCTCCCAATAAAATGCACTGGAGTCAGATCATTCAAAATTAAGCAAACTGGTCAGAACCAACATCCAAAAAAAAAATTAGCATGAGCCATCATATTCCACTTGTCAAATCAACAATACTCTTTCAAAAAATAATACACAGCATGGGCGAGGGTTCTGGGGACAGATTCTCGGCACTGGGAGTAGCCCTGCTCCCGGATCACACAGAGCATATGCCCAGCACACTGCTGTCACTGGCTATCAGGAACTGATCAGGAGACGTGGTGCAAGAGATGGTAACATTTTTTTGCTCATATGGTCTTGAGCTAGACTGGGACCTGGGACCATTTGCTGCAGTGCTGT